TTTTTTTTGGTGTTTGGCTTAGTGTTATGTTAGAATCGTTATTATACTCTTATACCTTTTGTTCTTTACTATTTTGAATCGTTTTTAGCTTTATGGAATTTTGTTGTATGCATTTGTCATTTTTATTTAATCTTTTTATTTAATGAATGTGTATAGGTAGTATTTATAAAGTTTTAGCTTTTAGTTTTGGATCTGTTTTTAGTTGTTTTAATACTACAATTGATTGCTTCTGTTGTCCTCATTTGTAAGTCGCTTTGGATAAAAGCGTCTGATAAATGACTAAATAAAATTATGTGTTATGTGACATTGTGCAAAAGGACATTAAATCACTGAATAGTCTGTGCAGGCTGAATTTATTTTGAATACCTGATAGTTCCTGCCAGCAGTGGGTTGAATGCGTACAGCCAGTCATGCATCTCTTTGTCATTGGCTGATTGGAGGAGAATGTTGCGGTGCTCAGTGCACACTGCAAAAGTGTTAGGAGCCTGGAAACCAAACACCACACGGGTTAACAAAATCAGTAGACAGCTATTGCTAGCAGAACTCTTTACTCCGTAATCGTGTGTATAATGTCATTGGATGAGGTATAAATAAATGGCCTCACCCTCAGCATGGCCTGCTGATCTTCGCTGTACTCCACCTGAGCAGAGGACAGGTTGATGATGGCTCTCTCCACGCAGTCTCTCTCACTGCGGTACAGGTAGACATATGGCCGCCGCACCACAATGTAACGCTTCACCCAGCCACTGGTGTGTGGCTCGAGAAAGTGTAGATAGCCTTTCTTTGACACAATAGGGCTGTAGTCAGGAAAAATTATAATACACATAAACCGAATTATTTACAGGGCAATCAATAACATGATACATTAGGATGTTTAAAGTTTAAAGGGTAAGAGTTTTTCAACAGTGGTCTTGAATGTTATACTGACACCTAGTGGTGTGGATGCAATGTTATACAAAAGTAAAGGTTTTCAGTTATAATTTCATTGTACAAATATTTCCATGCATTTGTCACTCAAATAATTTTGCAACCGAAAGTGTCCAATATGGACCCTTTTCACACATTATTAACATTGTAAATCTAGAGTTTTTTCATGTACATGCAGTATATTATACTATATTTTGTGTTATATGACCTTGACATTAAATTACAGAAAAATAGCTGACATTACTTTGTGAGTGTTTCAAATACAACAGCTATGGTAGCAATGGCAAATTTGACGTCTTTCTCTCTTCTGTCCAACATAATCACTGTCTCAATTTTTTTTCCCTTTTTTGTAAAGTCATAGAAATGCTATTGTGGAATGGATTACTTCTTTAGCTTTTGGAGCAAAAGGGAATGCAAGAATTATATTTGTTGTAGCTTTCATTCATTACAACTATGATGAATTCCGCTTCTAATAAACCAGGAAATGTGAAAAGGGTAAAGGAAGCAGTATTTGTCATGTGATCTCAACATGGCAGCCACCATGTAAAAACAATGATTCTCATGTGAGTGTACATCATTTCACACATTTGTCAACAAGTAATATTTTTTTAAGTGTAAAAATGGATGGAAAAATAAAGTATGGTAAAGTAACGATTTAAAGGGGTCCTATTATGCTTTTTCACTTTTTGAATTTTAGTCAGTGTGTAGTGTGTATGTTTGGGCATAAAAAAAGATCTTCAAACGTACAAATCTCAAAGTCCACTCCAAAGGCAGATATTTCGTTTAAAAAAAAATCCCTTTTCAAGAACTACAACGAACGGCTCGTTTGGACTACAGCATTGTTTTCCGGGTTTTGTGATGTCACAAAGCGGCCCATTAGAATATCATTAAAATAAATTCCCGCCTACAGAAATTCAAATGGT